ACCTGAAGCCCCCGTCTCTTTATTTAATTTCATCGCTTCTATTTGTGATGTTTTAAGGTGGACCTTTCCAAAGACATCCGGCACTGGGAGTCCCTGAAGCCTGAGGAGAAGTACTTCATTTCTCACGTCCTTGCCTTCTTTGCTGCCAGCGATGGCATCGTCAATGAGAACTTAGTAAGTGTATGGAAGCAGTACTGACAGGAACACCACTTTGAAGTGAAGCTAACAAACACGTTTGACACTTGCTGGCTGATCTAGCTTGTTTGCTAGATCATGTGGCATTACAATGTGTAATGCTGTCTTATGCTAATTAGCAAATTGGGTTTGCTTTTATAATCTACAAGTTAGCCCATTCCCTCACGGGGCACTGAGTGTTGCCTTGTAGTAACAGTTGGCTGTTTCAGAGCCCTTGTTCTGCTTCTCCCTTCTCAGTGCTCTTCTCCCTAATGGGGGCTAAGCAAAATTAAGTTTTCCCATTTGTCTTGGGTCCAAAGAACAACTCATGACTTTGGAGCTATGAGAGGCTACTCATATTGCTGTTAATGATCCATATGTCTGGAATTAATGTGAAAAGGATTCTGTGAGCTGAGCAGGAGCTGTGAGCATCAATGCATCTAACCTGCAACTTGGTTATAAATGCTTTCGCAAACACTCATTTATTTCCTCTAGGTGGAGCGGTTCAGTCAAGAAGTACAAATCACAGAAGCTCGTTGTTTCTATGGCTTCCAGATTGCCATGGAAAACATACATTCAGAAATGTACAGTCTTCTTATTGACACCTACATTAAAGATTCTAAAGAGAGGTTTGTATTGCTTGATGAAAGGTTTGAAACTCTTTAAGTGTTGAGAGTTGTGATGCATATTAGTCACTCTGACTTGAAGGCTAATTTTAGGATTTAAACTAGATTTATATAAAATACTACTGCTGCTTAAGAGCAACTTCAGAATATCTTTCTCCTGTGAAGTGTATGAGCAAGAATTTGCTTAGATTAAGAGTGAAACTGAAACCACTTGATACTGAAATGAAGGAATGAAACTGTGTAAAAGATTGAGCAGTCAAATGAGGGGGTATATTAAATTACTGTAAGTGCTCATAGGGAGGACCCTTGCACCTAGTAGAAAGCTATGTAGGAAAGTTTCTTGGAATTGTAGCAGTCCTGCTAAAATGCCATCTCTAAAACCCAGTGCATTTAGTTAACAGCTAGCACTCTTACATACATGTCCTGCCCTTGCTCACTTAATACTTTGCCTGGGAGAGGGAATAGCATCTTTCATTTGCCAAAAAGTGGCTTGTGGTTTTGATAAAAAAATGTAACCAAAGTGTAAAATTTGCATAACAAATGAATCTGTTCAAGAATAGTATCTTAAAACTAGGCATAGGGCTTTGAGCAGTCCAGATTTTGAGTTATTCTGGTCTGTTGTCTTGTCAGACCTACATCATGTTGAAATGTCATATGGTATTGCAATGCTATTTACAGTCTAGAGATACTTAATTGCTCCTTTGTAGAGAGCTGACCATGTCATTTATAGTCTGAAATGTTTAATTACAGTTAAGTGCTTAAGGAAGAGTTGCTTACATAAGAGATTTGGTGCCTTGCCACTGGGAAGTGGAGGCTGTTGGGGTTGGTAGTTTTGAAAGCCTTGTTCAAGTACAGTACTTGATGAAACAGTACTCCTCTTTGTTTTTGTCATGGGAATTTATGTGATGGGAAGGTGATGAAAAGGTAGTTGATGGGCACAAATACTAGATTGGTACAAAATAAAATGGGGAAGGAGACAGTTATCAGGGTGAAGGTGCAGAACACTTGTAAGTGAACAAGACCATCTATGGCTATGAATATTTATTGTACTAATTGTGCTGATGTCCAATTCTAATTAGTTACATCTTTCTCAGGGAATTTCTTTTTAATGCTATTGAAACGTTGCCATGTGTTAAAAAGAAGGCTGACTGGGCCATGCGCTGGATTGGGGACAAGAAAGCAACATATGGTGAGTACACTTATTGGAAGCAAAGGGAAATTCCTTCCTTAAAGGTGGAGGAAACACCGTTTCTCCAGAGTTTACAGGGAGACTACATGTTCTCCAGTATAAGATACTGGTATAATTCTGGAGGTGAAGAAAATAACTTTCATCTTGCAAATGAGCTACTGACATCAATCTTTGGCAAAATTGCTGGCATTTTGAGTATGGTAGCTCATGTGGCAATCTTCATATGCCTCGTTATATGATCAAATTGTGAATTGCTATCATGTGTCCAGAACTGTACTGGCCGTCTAGCTCCAGCAGAGACACAGTTGGAGGCTGTAGCTCCTCTGCCTTGCTGATTCTTGATGTCTTGCTAAAAAGGTGAAATGGTACAGATCATTATTTCACTAGTATGAAAGCATTCTTTGTGGCCAAATCAAAGTTGCTTAGGGGCATGGTTTAGTGGTGGACTTGGCAGTGTTAGGTTAATGTTTGGACTTTATGACCTTAGACATCTTTTCCAACCTAAATGATTCTATGAGCAGCCACTGTCTTAAATCAGCTGCTAAAATGACTTTTTCAGTGTGCAATCTTTCAAAAAGGATTGTATTGATGGTTAACCTGGGGGAAGGAGCCTTGGCTTCAGCTACTTGGTAGCTACTCTAGTTTTTACTTTCTCTCATCTTTAAAAGACACTTTTACTGTAATAGTTTTTTAAGAACAGGCTGTAGTACACTTGAGCAGAAACTTCTTCATTCTCCTTGGATGATGCAGTTCACTGGTCTATTTGCAACTTTTGGGTATTAACCCTGTTAAATTTTCTGTGTCATTTTACTATATCAATATTTTCTTAACAGGAGAACGAGTAGTAGCTTTTGCAGCAGTGGAAGGAATCTTCTTTTCTGGCTCTTTTGCATCAATTTTTTGGCTGAAGAAAAGAGGATTAATGCCTGGACTCACTTTTTCTAATGAACTCATCAGTAGAGACGAGGTATGAATCAAATTCTAGCAGTTAAGATGATAATGTGCTACAGCAGCTCAAAGATACTCAGTTGGAGCCTATATTAAAACAGGAGTATGTTTAGAAACAGGCAGTCTATGAAGCTCACTGAAGTGTGTAAACATGTGTCATCACGGATCTAGCAGCAGAGAATGAATGAACGTAGCATTTTACTTCCTCTGAAGTAGTTCAAGGGTTCTCGCCAACCCTTTCACTCAATATACCTTGGCATTTGGAGCAAGTGCAGCTGGTACTGGCTGAACTCACTTATTCCTCCTTCTGGTTAGGCAGAAAGCTGCCTGTAGATAACACTAAATAACATGGCAAGTGCAAAGATGGTGCCTAGATATTGGGCTCTTGATTCTGTGCTACTGATTTGAGTGGCTCTTAAATTACTGTTCCTGAAATTATTTTCTGAAACTTCTTTCCAGGGCTTGCACTGTGATTTTGCCTGCCTCATGTTCAAGCACTTGATACACAAACCATCAGAGGAGAGAGTAAAGGAAATCATCACGAATGCCGTTCTCATAGAACAGGTAATTGTCTGCTCCTTGTTCAGGAACTTGATCGCAATTAAGCAGAAATCTGGGGAGCTCTTGGGTATAAAATTAACCTAGTCAGTACAGAGTGAATACCAGTTTCTGTATATAAAGTGTTTCTATTATCTGCAGGAATTCTTGACAGAGGCATTGCCTGTAAAGCTGATTGGCATGAACTGCACTTTAATGAAACAGTACATAGAGTTTGTAGCAGACCGGCTTATGTTGGAACTGGGATTTAACAAGGTAAGGCTCTAATACACTGAATCTGTCATGGGGAAAAGATAATATCAAGTTTAATTTCCTCTAGAAACCCAAATCCTAAAATGGCTGTGGCAATATTGGTATAACTTGTAAAACCATTTAGCAGTCCTGCTGCTAGATCCTGTTTGGAGACCCACAGAAGGAAAATCAGAAGGATGCTATGGAAAAAAACCAGCTATACAAGAGCTGCTGTGCTTCTGTCTACTGCAGCTAAAAGACAGGAGCAAATACAGTAGGGAAGGCTTGGGGCAGAGATTTGTGTTAACTGCTCAGCCAGCTGATGTTGTCATTAGACTCCTTCCAGCTGATCTTCTAATGATCTCACGTGTTCAAGATGTGAGCACCTGTAGTGACTACAGAATTGCCTTTGCCTTTCAGATATACAAAGCGGAGAATCCTTTTGACTTCATGGAAAACATCTCTCTGGAAGGCAAGACCAATTTCTTTGAGAAGCGAGTAGGTGAATATCAGAGGATGGGAGTCATGTCGAAGCCCACAGACAACTCTTTCACCCTGGATGCTGAATTTTAAATGAACTGAGACCACACGAGTTAGTGTATGTGCCCCTGTTTACAGGGAAACATTAAATATATTGAGTCACAGTGTGACTTGATTCCTGTACTAAAATCCCACTCTTGAAAAGTGTGGTGCTACTGGTATTTTTCAGGAGGCTAGTGTAGCTCCAGCAGTAAAATCCCTTTTTATTAGACTTTGCCAATGGTGTTAATTCATAGAATGCTTAGATTTGTCTCTTAAAACATGCTACTCGATTTTGTGAAAGATATGGGCACTTTCCTTCTGCAAGATGGGAAGTTATGGGCAGTCACCACTAGCTTCTGCTGTTCTCCCCATAAACAAAGGAGCAGTTGAGAAATTGCAGTCTTAAATTCACTGAATACTCAGCAGAAAACTCTGGAGGCAACTACATGACCTCACTGCTTTCTTAGCAGGTTTTAAGTTTACCTTTTTTACTATTGTTTTAATAGTTTGTACATAAACCTGGCACTTTAATGTTTTAAAATAAAGAACTGTCTTGTAATACTCTACAATGGTAAAATACAGGTCTAAATCTTTAGACTTAAAACCCAACCTTTTATGACGAGTGCTTCTTTCTGGGTATGGATCTTAAAAATGGTGCTGCAAATCAAACTGGATTTTGAAATTTCTTGAAGAACAAGAAGAAACTTGCTATGGAAGGTGAAGAACTTGCTAAGTTGGGTATTCTGGGTACTGAAAAACAACATGCAGCTGGCTTCTGGATTTAATTGCTTTTTCTTTAATATCTGGGAATGGTATGTCAATATAACAGTAATAAAAGCTGGTTGGATTCAGTGTTGTACTGGCTTCAGTGCTCCAATGGGCGAAGCTCTGTTAACTTCCTTCTGAATTGCGAACTTTCTGAGGAAATGCAAGTTCTGCAGGAAATGGCTCCTTAGTCATGTGGTTGGTAGATGTCAAGTGAAATTGTTAAGCTTAGCCTGACTTTCAGATTGATGGCACTAAATGCATGGTGTTTCAGGGTAAATCCAGCTAATTCAGGCTGGAGCAATATTAGCTTCTGCATCATACAGTTCAGTTTTGGTTTTAATAATAGTGAAAACATGCTACAATATTGTTACTCCACACTAAACATGGAGCAACAGGAATGAGTTTGCTTAATGTAACTTTGGCAATGGCATGTGGTCTGGAGTTCCCTGTGGCCTCAGGTGGGAGTTCCTGCAAATGATCTGATGATGATGATGAGATTAACTACCAATGGGACAGACAGATTAGCTATTGCCTTGATGTATGGAAGAGTTTATTCCATGATCTAGTCTAACACCTAAGTAACAAGGGCTGTCCTGCAAGTCTGCCTTTCTTCCTCAAATGTAGTTGATGGAAAACTAACTTTATGGAACTTCCAGCATTCTTTCCTTTCAAAGAAATGCTTTACTTAGCTTCTTTCTGCTAAAGTGCTCCCTCTTGAAATACATATATATGGTGCTTCTTTGAGAGATGCTGCCTTGGTGTAAAATTAACAGACTTGCTGGTCTTTGCTCCTTTACTCTTGAGTGCACTGAAGATGGTGGTGTTTTGACTGTTCTTCCCCTGGGTTTGTGAAGCTAGCTGGATGTGCATGTTTCAAAGGCTATCCTAGGGGGAAAAAAACCCATAAATAATTAAAAAAACCCAAGCCCCAAAGGTTGGAATTCAAAGACGACTGTTAACAGATGGCTCTCTAATGCCCCTGCAGCACCTATGTTGGTGACAGGTCAGTGATTGCAGTGGCCTGAGAAGAACATATTAGGCACTGGAACAGGGACATGTTAAGCTGGACAGCCAGACACATCATTTTGAAGCACTGAAACCTAATGTTCTTAAAGATATGTGGGTTTCTGGCTAAATAGCATTTTGTTCTCAGTAAATTGGGCTTTCTGCTTTTTCTTTGCTTCTCTTAGAAGTCAAAGCTTTGATCAAATTAAATATGATACAAAGCATCAGAACTCATGGTGTAGGGCTATGCTGTTTAGAGCATAAATGAGACAGTAACAATGTACTGAGATCAGTTTGGTTGTAAGTATTGTTTAGCAGCATTCAACTTGTATTCAAATCTGTTAATTTATATACTTCAACGATGTAGAAAGAGTAAGGCTTCTCTAATCTGAGTAGGCTTTAGCTATATTAAAGCTATGTCTTCTTACTTGATTCTTAGTATGTGCCAAGGATCAATACATGGAAAAAAATTAGGGTGGAAAACTTTAGTTATCCTTAATTCTGGGAGATATGAACTGGAACTGTATTTTTTTTTTTCAACATAATATAAAAGGACTGCTTGGAATGGATGTGTGATGGCCAAGTACTCATTTGTAATGGCAGGTAGGAAGAATGTGCCTTTTAGCCAAGCATTGCTCTCATAGGGTAATGGATACTGTAGATGTGGGCACATTAGAGATAAATTAGATAGGAATTAGAAGTGATTCAATGAGAGAATAAGACTTGCTATGGCTAGCATTAATCTTATCCTAGTGCCACTGATGTCTAAATGCCTACTTAGTTTTATGTACTTGCAAACCAGTTTTCAATGTATGGTCTGGAGAAAAGCTATGCATCTGGTCCCACCTATTTTAATTCTCAGTTCTCAAAAATTTAAATGTCTTGCTGTTTAGTTTGCATAGATCCTGTCCAAGTCTTGATAAAATACTTATTTACTGAAAACATTACTTTCCAATTTGTCTATGCCAGTTGTTTCGATCCTCTTAAGCACTGAGGAGATAACAATCTTGTATTTCTTTCCAAAGAATAAACTAATACTCTGAAAAATAAGTTTCAATAAAAATTGAACTGACTCTTTGGAATATGTTTTGGAATTGAGTTTGGAGAACCAGGAGAGATTTGAAACAAAATGATGAAAGAGCTGATTTTTTTATCCGTGTATGAATCAGAACAGCTGTCTAGTAGGGGTTCTGGCGCAGTAATTGCCGCAAGTGAAAAGCGATTAGGCTAGTAGAGGGAAAAAATACTGGGGGATAAGTAAAACCAGATATATTTGGTGGTGCAATACTCTGATGTCTGTTGTTAATTTATGTGGAACTGATCTCTAGCTATCCCCCATGTTTTTTACGGCTGTTAAAATGAATGGCTTTCAATAGCAGCAGATAAAATGGAAGAACAGTAACTTCAAGCATAGTTTCCCATTATATTTATTTCTTCGTGTAATTCTTTTTTTAAAAAAAAAAAATTGCATGGGTTTGGGTAAGAAAGCTTCCATAACTCTTTAATTGATGCATTTTGACTTCAAGTTACATGTCAGATGTTGAAAACCTTAGGCGATGTGGAGGAGTAAGAGCAGCAACCTAATGTCAGCCTTGTCCTCAGGAAGCAACTGCAACATTAGAGTGTAATGATGAAAAGAAAATCCCCAGATTTCTCAAATTTCCTGGAGTGATTACAGCAATTTGTGCCCAGAAGAGGTCAGAGAACAGTTGCAGCTGCTTGTGCCTGCAGCAGGGCCCAGCCAGCCCGCAAATCTGAAGGCGTATTAAGTCTGGTGCGATCCCTGAAAGGTGACTGCTTCCTCCGTACCAGTCAATAATCAGAAACTTTGCCTGGCAGAAAGCAGTAAACAAGCAACTTGGGCTCATCCAAAGCTTACTTCTCAGTTGACCATGGCTTGGTTTATTTTACTGTTGATTATCTCTTGGTGCTTTGGCCTCTCTCGTTGTGCCTAGTGAATGATAAGAATGCATTCATCAGGAAGGATTTGAGAGTTACAGAGAAGGAAGTGTCATGTCCTGTTTGCCGATGGACAGCTAGTTTTTTGTTAGGTATTCATCGCTGGGATCCTAGGATCTGCGCAGCAGAGACAGTTCTTTGTTTTCTGTGGTAAAACAGTCTTTATGCGAAGAACGGCTGAAAGATTAGGCTAACCTCAGGGTGCGGGGAAACAATATCAGCCCCTTGTGTCAGAGGCTTTAGTTTTAAAATTAAGCCCAACTGATCTTTGAAGTAGTAATATTGCTGCTTCTTGAGCTTGCAGAGAAATGAGGGGGAAAAACTTTTATCCCTTTAAAGTATATTGTGGACTTTAATGATGAGATCTTACTGACATGGTTGATCAGCAGAAAAATGGTAGTGTTTGGGCATCTTCCCTTGGAGGTAGTTGTGGGATGAAGAAGAATCACCAGTTTTCATCCCCCTGACTGGGTGTTACTGGTGCTCTGCTGGGTGTCAGCTGGGAAATATGTGTTGCTATCATGATCCAGAGGTAAGGCCAAGTGAACAGCAAACCCCAGGGCACTGACTGGCCACTGGAGCTGTGGCTTTCGCTCTTAATTTTAGGTTTCTCCCGTGCCACGTTGGGCTTCTGAATCTGCTGTAGAACAGAATTTGAAGGTGAGAGCTTCACACTCCAGGGAAATGGGTTGTGTTAAAGCCCTTCCTGCTGTGGATGCTCATCTTCTCTCTGTAAGTATAAATTCTTTCACCCCTGATGCATATCAGAATTTGATATTCTTCCCCCTGCTGTAAGTAATTTTTTTTTAAACTTCAAATATATAGAGAAAAATACCTTAGTGGAACAGCTTTGCAATTCTTTCCAATAACCAAATCCCTCTTCTGCTTTTTCCCTGGTTGTAATACAGTGTGTAGTTTGTGCCACTGGCGATGTTGTTTTGTTCATCACATAAAGATTACAGTGAATTACCAGGAGGTGCTTAAGCCACGCAGCACTTGGGACCACTTGCCTGATGCTGAACGCTCCTGTGTTGAGGTTTTTCTTTTGGCCTAAGGGTGAAGACTCTGGTGTTGGATACACACTGGTGCTTCTGAGAAGCAGACTGGGGGGAAAAAAGGCATCTCAGGCCAGTTTCTGCTGCCAGTTGCCAGTAAGTAATTTGTACTTTCCATGTACTGTAGGATTTAGCTTAAAGTACGGGGAAGTTTGCAGTTCTTCACTGTCTAAAACTTAAGAGTGCTGAGCTTCCAAAAAATGGTCTTTTGAGCTGTGTGTTTGTTCTGTTTGGGGTTGGGGGTGCTGCTGCTCCTGTTAGAGCCTCTCATGTTGTCACGTGCTGCTGGTAAAACCCAGGATGGCTTGCTTGGTCTCTGTTCCCCCTTGGATCAGGCCTAGCAGTGTGGCAGAGTTTATTTTTTTGCTAGATTCTTGTTTTGATGAGGATCTAGCAAATACATTGTCAGGCAACTGAGCTAGTTCGTCATCCACATGAATTGAGGTAACTAAGCTAGTCTGCTAAATGAGTCATTTAAAGATTGAGGTGTTTGTTCCCAGAGGAGCGCACTTGCAGGTATTTATCTCAGATAGACAAATCTTT